TCATGCCTGTAACCCTAGCTCTTTAGGAGGCTGTGGAAGGAGGATTGCTTGAGTCCAGGAGTTCAAGACCAGTAGGGAGAATATAATGAGGTCCTATCTCTACAAAAACTTACAAAAATTAGCTAGGTGTAGTGGCGTGTGGCTGTAGTCCCAGCTACTCTGGAGGCTGAAGTGGGAGAACTGCTTGAGCCTAGGAAGTTGTGGCTGCAGTGAGCTGTGATTGTACCACTGCACTCCAGCCTGGGCAACAGGGCAAGACACCATTCAAAACAACACTAAACAAATGAAAAACTACTACCTAAATGTCCATCAACAGGTAAAGAAATAAACCATTAGGCATATTGCCTAATGTTTATACAAAATGTAGTATATGCATAAACTGGAACATTGTTCAGTTATGAAAAGAAAAAGATCCTGTCACACACGACAACATGAATGAACTCTGAGGACATTATACTAAGTAAAACAGGCCAATCACAGAAGGACAAATACTACATCAGTCCAATTATGAATAGTGGTTGCCAGGGGCCAGAGGGAGGAGGAAATGGGGAGCTGTTGTTCAAAAGTTACCGTTTCCAGTCATACCAGATGAAAAAGTTCCAAAGAGCTGCTGTACAACATTGTGCTTCTCTTAACAATGCTGCACACTTTAAGAGGGCAGATCTCATGTTATGTGTTTAACATACACACACACACACACACACACTCTCCAAAAAACTATCAAAGTCTTAAGAAGCTTTACAAGGAGAATATATAGTTTATTGAGGATCTTTGTAAGACGATGCAAAGAATGAGGGAAAAAAACAAAAGGATTGGCTGGGCACAGTGGCTCACGCCTATAATCCAGCACTTTGGGAGGCCAAGGCGGGCGCATCACGAGGTCAGGAGTTCCAGACCACTCTGGCTAACATAGTGAAACCCCGTCTCTACTAAAAATACACAAAATTAGCTGGACATGGTGGTCTGCGCTTGTAATCCTGGCTACTCGGGAGGCTGAGGCAGGAAAATTGTATGAACCCAGGAGGTGGAGGTTGCAGTGAGCCGAGATCACACCATTGCACTCCAGCCCAGGCGACAGTGCGAGACTTCGTCTCAAAAAAAAAAAAAAAAGATCTTTGATTCAGAGTCAGACGTGGTATGGCAAATTTGTATTGCTGTAAAATATCTATAAATCCTATAAACTAAAATTACACCCAGTGACCAGTTTGGCTAAAAATACTTGATAATGTTTCTGCTTTTTCTCTTATGCTACAAAACACTCTATGCTTCCTGAAATCACATTATAGAAAATAAGGTCTCTATTTGATGTCAAAGTGACTATTAAAGAGCTCTTTTCTCAGAAAGAAAAATTCTACAAAGACTTATGTTAACTATGAACCTTAAGCATGGCCAGGGGCAGTGGCTCATGCCTGTAATCCAAGCACTTTGGAGGCCAAGGCGGGCGGATCACCTGAGGTCGGGAGTTTAAGACCAGCCTGACCAACATGGTGAAACCCCATCTTTAAAAATAAATAAATAGAATGTGGCACATATACACCATGGAATATTATGCAGCCATCAAAAACGATGAGTTTGGGTCCTTTGTAGGGACATGGATGAACCTGGAAACCATCATTCTCAGCAAACTGACAGAAGAGCAGAAGATCAAACACCGCATGTTCTCACTCATAGGCGGGTGTTGAACAATGAGAACACATGGACACAGGGAGGGGAGCACTACACACTGGGGTCAGTTTGGGGGAAATAGGGGAGGGACGGTGGTGGGTAGGGAGCTGGAGAGAGATAGCAAGGGGAGAAATGCCAGATGTAGGTGATGAGGAGGAAGGCAGCAAATCACACTGCCACGTGTGTACCTATGCAACAATTTTGCATGTTCTTCACATGTACCCCCAAACCTAAAATGCAATAAAATAAAAGGGAAAAAAAAAATAAAAAATAAATAAAATACTATAAACCTTAAAGAAAAAAAAATACATATACATATATGTATCTGCGTGTGTGTGTGTGTGTGTGTGTATTTTTTTTTTTTTTTTGAGATGGAGTCTTGCTCTGTAGCCTAGGCCAGAGTGCAATGGCACAATCTGGCTCACTGCAACCTTTGCCTCCTGGGTTCAACTGATCCTCCCACCTCAGCCTCCCAAGTAGCTGGGATTACAAGCATTTGCCTGGCTAATTTTTTAAATTTTAGTAGAGATGGGATTTTACCATGTTGGTGAACAACAGGCTTGTCTCAAACTCCTGACCTCAAATGATCCATCCACCTCAGCCTCCCAAAGTGCTGGGATTATAGATATGAGCCATCTATAAGAACAGATGCCCAGCTGACAGGAATATATTTTAGGCAACTGTACAATATCATAAAATATATCCAGGATGTGAAATGATCTTTATAAACTATACATATTATTTTTTCCTTTCTTTTTTTTTCTTTTGAGATGGAGTCTTGCTCTGTCGCCCAGGCTGGAGTGCAGTGGCATGATCTCGGCTCACTGCAACTTCCGCCTCCCAGGTACAAGTAATTCTCCTGCTTCAGCATCCCAAGTAGCTGGGACTACAGGCGCATGCTGTCACGCCCAGACAATATTTTGTATTTTAGTAGAGAGTGGATTTCACTGTGTTATCCAGGCTAGTCTCGAACTCTGGAGCTCAGGCAATCTGCCCTCCTCAGCCTCCCAAAGTGATAGGATTACAGGTGTGAGCCCCCGCGCCCAGCCCGTATCATTATTTCTTAAGCTCTAAATGACCTCAATGAACTCATCTGTTTTTTTTCCCATTTTCTTTTGTCTTTCTAACCTATGTTACTCAGGGTAACATCTCATGGTAAAAATGCTTAACTCCTTGTATTTATCAAGTCTGTATTAATAAAAGTATATCTGTTAGACAATAACAAATGATGATGAAATGTGGAGATATCAGAATCCTTATAGTACTGCTGGTCGGAAGGTAAAATAGTGCAACCACCTTGGAAAAGAGTTTGGCAGGTCCTCAGTCTTCTTCATTAGTCCAAAACTTGGAACCAACCCCATACCCATCACCTGTAGAAGAAACACATAACGAAGCCCCAGTACGATGGCTGATGCCTATAATCCCAGCACTTTGGAAGGCCAATGAAGGCAGACTGCTTGAGCCCAAGAGTTTGAGACAAGCCTGGGCAACATGGCAAAGCCCCATCGTGGCAAAAATACAAAAATTGGCCAAGCATGGTGCTGTGAACCTGTGGTCCCAGCTATTCAGGAAGCTGAGGTGGGAGGATCACCTGAGCACAGGGAGGTTGAGGCTTCATTGAGCTGTGATCACGCCACTGCCCTCCAGCCTGGACAACTGAGTGAGACCCTGTCTCAAATATAAGAACAATAATAAAATAAAAGGGGAACACACAAACCAAATGTAATATATCCACAATGGAATATTATTTGGAAATAAAAAGGAATGAAGTACGATGCATGGTATAACACGGATAAACCTTGAAAATATGCTAAGTGAAAGAAGCCACTCACAAAAGACTGCTTATATGAAATATCCAGAATACACAAATCTACAGAGACAGAGAGTAGATTAGTGGTACCCCAGGGTAGGGAGATGGGGGGAAATGGAGAGTGGCCACCTAATGGGTATGGGGGTTTCTTTTAGGGGTGGTGAAAATGTTCTAAACTTAGATTGTAGTGATAGCTGAACATTTCTGTAAGTATCCTAAAAACTATTAAATCGTATTCTTTTAATGGGTAAATTTTATGATATGTTAATTATACCTCAATAAATGTTTTTATCTGGTAGCTTTCTAAATCCAAACACAATGCAAAGCCTTGTTTCTTTCACACCCGTGGCTAAATAACCATTGCTCATTCTAGTGACAGAGTAGCATTATAATTTGTTGAAAATACTCTAGCAAAAATTTAAAAATAAGGATGTTAAAATAGCTCTGAACTACATAAAATCAGCCTCAAATCTGATTCTGCACCTATTTCAGAATTACAGCGGTTCTCTTGTTATCAAAACTTAACAGGTTGGGTGCAATGGCTCACGCCTGTAATTGCAGCAGTTTTGAAGGCTGAGAGGCAGGTGGATTGCTTAAAGCCAGGAGTTTGAGACCAGCCTGAGTAACAGAGCAAGAACCCATCTCTAAAAAATATATGGTGGGCATGGTGGTGCATGCCTGTAGTCCCAGCTGCTCGGGAAGCTGAGGCAGGAGAATTGCCTGAACCCAGGAGGCGGAGGTTGCGGTGAGCCGAGATCGCGCCATTGCACTCCAGCCTGGGTAACAAGAGTGAAACTCCGTCTCAGCAAAAAAAAAAAAAGAGCTACACGACGCTCTTATATATATATATATATATGGTGGTGCATGCCTGGAATCTGAGCAACTCAGGAGGCTGAGCGGGGAGGACCACTTGAGCATGCGAGGCAGAGGTTGCAGTCAGCCAACACTGTATCCGCGTACTCTAGCCTGGGCAACAAAGCCAGACCCTGACTCAAAAAACAGACAAATAAAAACCAACTTAACACAGATAAATTTTAAAAGCCACTAAATAGAAAATTTATTTGCCCATAGTACCATGGAGAGGGGTGGGAGGTGGCTAGGTCTTTAACTCTGAACTCAATCTTTAAAAATTGTTAATAGTAGCTGGGAGTGGTAGCTCACGCCTATAATCCCAGCACTCTGGGAGTCCAAGGCAGGTGGATCACCTGAGGTCAGGAGCTCAAGACCAGCCTGGCCAATGTGGTGAAACCATCTCTACTAAAAACACAAAAATCAGCCAGGCATGGTGGTGGGTGCCTGTAGTCCCAGCTACCTGAGAAGTTGAGGCAGGAGAATCACCTGAGCCTGGGAGGCAGAGGGTGCAGCTAAGCCGAGATCGCGCCATTGCACTCATGCCTGGGAAACAAGAGTAAGATTCCGCCTCAAAAAAAAATTTTTTTAATAGCAGTAACATGAAGCTAAAGAGAATAATAGTAATAATTTCCATAATATGCATTACATAAACTATGTTAAGGATAAAACATACCTTTTTATTTCTTGTCCTTTTTGCTTAGGAGATTCACCTCCATTTAGGATCTGTTCTAAATTCTTTGTTTCTACTGATCCATTTGGTTCTGAATTAGACAGTCCAAGTAATGACCTTACCCGCTGAGACCGTACATCTAATATTGTATCTGTATAACCTACTTCCTGAAGATACCTGTAAGAGAAAATAAATATTAAAATCCACATACTGTTAACAAGAGCCAGACTCAAAATCATATCAAAGGAATTTTAGAAAAACCCATAATCCTATAAAATATACTCTTCCTTTGTCTCAATTTCTTTCTTCTCTACAGACTAGTTCCATTTCTAACAGAATTATGCCAATTACAAACCCAAATTTAAATTAAAAATCATGAGCATGGTTAACACTGATTAAGAGCCAATTATCTCAAAACTCAAGAAGCCCTAGTGCCTTAAAACGCTTTTAGGATTACACACACACACACACACACACGTTTTTAAATTTCTATACACTCTCACCCACAATTTTTTTTTTTTTTTGGAGATGGAATCTTGCCCTGTCACCCAGGCTGTAGTACAGTGGCGTGATCTCGGCTCACTGCAACCTCCGCTTCCGGGTTCAGGCAATTCTTCTGCCTCAACCTCCCAAGTGGCTGGGACTACGGGCACGCGCCACCACACTCGGCTAATTTTTGTGCTTTTAGTAGAGACAGGGTATCACCATATTGGTCAGGCTGGTCTCAAACTCCTGACCTCGTGATCCATCTGCCTTAGCCTCCCAAATGATGGGATTACAGGTGTGAGACACCAAGCCCGGCCATTTTTAAAAATTTCCACACACACACACATTTTTAAATTTACACACAGCCACACATTACACACACATTTTTTAATTTCCAAGGAGTGGTAAAGAAAGAGGAGAACTGAATCTTAGCATAAAGACATACTAAGTTTAAACTTGGGGTTGTTAGCTACAGATTGATGAATACACTAATTCTCCTTCTAAGATCTAAGATTCCATATAGCATTCCTTTAGTACTGTGGTTTTCAATCTTTTACTATATTTAAACCAGGGAACTTAACCTAGGATCTAAGACGAGACTGGAAAAGAAGAAAGGGACTAGATTACGATACACAGATAATGAGCTCTGAATGGCTTTGTGACAAATTATTTAAGAGGCTAATGAAGGATGCTTAAAAGAAGCCTTAAATACTGCTGGCAGAAGAACAAAAGATTTTTAGGTGAATGATAAAGAGAAAAAAACGAGATAAGGACACTAACACAGCAAGAAGTAAAAATGGAGGAGAATAAATGTGAGAAAAATAAGAAAGATAATCTTTTCGACATGATACACAAATATATGTGGAAGTAGAATGAAAAGAACTTTCGGACAATTTTCAGGTTTCTAGCTTGGACAGCTGGATGACGGGTACATTCAAAGAAATAAATATAGAGTCAGAATCCAGTTTACAGAGTACCTATCAGACAACCACGTAGTGGCTATAAAAAAAAAAAAACAAAAAACACAAGTGGCAATGTTTATTAGGCACATAGATGATACAAATCAAAAGCTAAGAAGAGACTGGCCTGGGTATACAGATTTGGGTCATTAATCTTTGGTACTATTTGAAGGCATGGATTTAAATGAAGTCACTCATAGAATAAGCATAAATAAAAAGAGAAAGTCTGGGTATACAAACACCCAAAGGACTAGAATCATAAGAAAAACTCAAAGGAAAATGAAAATACTTGAGAAATTAGAGGAAAAAAATGATAGCTGAGAGTGCTGTCATGGAAGCAAAACTAAAAGTTTCAAAAAGGAATAGATAATGTCAAATTTTTCCAAGATATCAATTATAACAAGGAGGGTCTCTTGAATCTGTTTGTGATAGCTGCTCCAGAGGAACGTCAAAATGGAAAACAGCTGACGAAAAAGAATGACGACTATGGGGCTAAACTACTCTTAACAAGTTTGGCTGTAAAGTCACAGGGAAAGATAAAGGTGTCAAGAGACTAAACTGTAAATCCAGGCAATGGGATTAGGCATTTATGAGAGAAATACTGTCCAAGTGATTTCTCTACAACTGTCCTCACTCTCCTTCTAAAAAATGCAGTTCTCTCTTGGAGAGAACAGCTCCTATCATACTCTAACCATTTTGTCTGAATGAACTGCCAAGATCTCATACAACTCAGGTAAAAACGACTGACTCATGGGGAATCATTTGATTAGTCAGGACACCACCTATCCTTTTCAGAAATTGTTCTAAGACAGAGTGTTCTCTGACATATGGAAAAAAGTGGTTCTCAGCAGAAAAGAATAAACCTGACACAGAGAAGGGGTAGAAAATCAAATAAGAATGTCCTTAGAGTTTCCAGTCTGAGACAGCCTCCAAGTTACCCTAGCTCTTCACTTCCTGACACTTGGTTGTTCACTATTTCACCATTTCCTTTAATTCTGCGGGTTATCCAGCATCCTTCTAATCAATAATCTATTCGTTTCTTCAAATTTTAGTCACTTATAAGGAGAGCCTGGATTGATAAATACCTTTTTGAATGGAACATAAGAAACTAAGGTAAAAGATAAGAGGTTTAAATACATTTACAGAAGCCAGGCACAGTGGCTCACGCCTAGAATCCCAGCACTCTGGGAGGCCAAGGTGGATGGATCATGAGGTCAGGAGAACAAGACCATCCTGGCCAACATGGTGAAACCCTGTCTCTACTAAAAATACAAAAATTAGCTGAGCATGGCAGCATGCACCTGTAGTCCCAGCTACTCGGAAGGCTAAGGCAGAAGAACTGACTGAACCCGGGAGATGGAGGCTGCAGTGAGCCGAGATCAAGCCACTGCACTCCAGCCTGGGCAACAGAGTGAGACTCCATCAAATAAATAAATAAATAAAAATTTAAAAATACATTTACAGAAAGGAAAGCAAAGTGTCAAGGGAGTTCTCAACTGACAGCCTTCATATTTTCAGTGAAGCAGGGCCTGAAGTGCTCTAATGAAATAAGGGAGAATGGGCTGAGATATAGTAAAAGTTTAGAATATCCACTTAGGACAATGGAAGCAGAGGGTGGCCCACGGTTATGGAAAAGGGCTCTCGGCAATGTTTGGACAGGAAACCATGAATATATAATAGCATTCACATGATTCTGTAGTTTTTATCCAAGAGTTAACTAGAAAGAGAAGCAGTAGACAGAACGAACTAGAGCTCAAGTTTTGCAGGTAAATTCAGTAAAATGACTGGTGAGGAAGTGGTAAGCAGCGGGTAGCAAGAAAATTAAGGGTACTAGATAAGGGTGATCAATTATGGAGTCTAAGCTGGAGCTAGGGAAACAGAAATAAAATAAATGCAACTATAGGTAGAAGAGCTAAAGAGAAAAATGATATAGTCAAGGATCTAAAAATCATGGTAAAGTCAGAGGGCAAATAACACAGTGGTCAGAGGTGACTGTCCAGACCATGGAATATTCTAAAGATCATTGTACAAGATCAAGGGTGAAGGTAAAAACACTGAATAGAGTGGAAAACACTGAATAACTGAAAATCACCCAGGATATCAGTAGGATACAAATCCCAAAATTTTCAAAATATAAGGAAAATAACAGATGAAAGTCCAAGAAAAAAAAAAAATTTACCAGAGAAATACTTCCAATACAACAAGTAATTCAAAAATCAAAAAGGCTCCTAAAAAATTCAAGTAAAAGGAGGATTTGGCAATCCACTTCTGAAAAGTTTCAGATGAATTCAGCTAAATTCATTCTCTAGACCAGTCACACGCACACTGAATTGTGTGAATTCTGCACGGATAGGAATGGAGGGGTCTAGGAAGTATGACTTCTATATTGTTTTTGTTCTGCTCTTCAAGTCATCCAGTCTTTTAGACATTCTACCCTGCAAGTAAGAAGACATCATCATCGTGAAACTCAGAGGAAACAAACTTTTAAAAAGATCGAAGCATCTACACAGCGAAAACGCAGCAATACAAAACACATACACATCGTCCCAATACAATTTTTTACTTGCAAATTGATTCAATATAAGAACTTTCATATCTAGATCCTTAAAGAAAGCTGAAAATAAATAAATACTCACTGTCTTAAAAGCTGTCTGCCTTGCTTCCATGTTAACTGGCTATTCTGAGGTGCTGTGGGAGCCTCTGTGTCTTTGGTTTCTTCTAAAAAGTAAGAAAAAAAAAAGTTTTACATACATTATTTTAACTCCTGAAAATATTGCCAAAGTTTTCTTAGGGATAAATTTCCCCAAAAAATACTTAAATATTTTATAAAAGACAGGAAAAAATTAGCTTTTACTAAGTATTAACTGTGGGTCACTCATTTTAAATATGTCCCAATAACCCAATGACTTAAGTACTATGTTCCCCATTTTAAAACAGGGAAAACCCAGGCGTACTATATTAGCATCAATGATTCAAAAGTCAAACACCCAGGAGATAAAATATTATTAGAACTGATTTTGTTTTTTCTTTTTTTGAGACAGGGTCTCACTCTGTCACCCAGGCTGGAGCGGCAACATCTCGGTTCACTGCAGTCTCAACTTCCCTGGGCTCTAGAGATCCCACCTAAGCCTCTCAAGTAGTTGGGACCACTGATGCATACCACCATGCCCAGCTAATTTTTGTATTTTGAAGAGATAAGGTTTTGCCATGTTGCCCAAACTGGTCTCAAACTCCTAGGCTGAAGCGATCCACTCGCCTGAGCCTCCTAATAAGTGCTGGGATTATAGGGCATGAGCCACCATGCCCGGCAAATTAATTTTTTAATTACTAGAATTCTGCTGAGTTGATTGCCTTTGAAATTAAAAAGCTCAACAAGCATCTCTAGAACAAAAGTTAAAACTATTTATTGACATTTATATCACAGAAATAGTTCCCCATAAACTCATAAATTCCCATTATTAAAATAAAGACACAGTGAAGAAGAGAGGGGCTTCGAAGATCAACCCTCACACTGAATGTTGAGGACTCTGTGAGGCTCCTAGACTCCTCAAAGTCACTTAGTACTTGCTGGTAGTAATTCAAATCCTCTACAGGCATTATTTCTCTAACCCTAACAATCCAATTATTAATACCTTCTGGCTGGGAACAGTGGCTAAGGCCTGCAATCCCAGCACTTTGGGAGGCCAAGGCAGGTGGGTCACTTGAGCCCAGTAGTTCAAGACCAGCCTGGGAAACATGTCAAAACCTCATCTCTACAAAAAATGCAAAAATTAGCCAGGCATGGTGGCACATGCCTGTAGTCCCAGCTACTTGGGAGGCTGAGGGAGGAGGATTGCTTGAGCCTGGGAAGCAGAGATTGCAGTGACCCAAGATCTGCCCCCAAGCTCAAGCAATCCTCTGGCACTCTAGCCTGGCAAAAGAGTGAGACTCTGTCTCAAAACAAAAGAAAACCACTTCTTATTCTGTCCCAAACACAAGCATTTCTTTGATTTCCAGAAATAATTATTTCATTCTAATAGTCACCCTGATTTTTCTATTTACATTTTTCTATTTATAACATTTTAAAGTTACATATAACACATAATCACTGGAGAAAAAAAATATTTAAAAAAATAAGAAATACAACTACCCAAAATCCTATTACCAAAAGTTAACAACTGGTAGTACTTTAGTGTTTATCATTCCCTATTTTCTACCTGAAAATATACATGACTAATACAATCCCACCTTTTTTTTTTTTTTCAAATGTCCCAAAGTATACACTGCACTATAATCTGCTTCTGACACTAAAGTTACCTTGAACGTTCTCTGTATGGCAATACAGATCAGCATTAAAAATGATTACATAATATTCTATAGAAAAAGTATACCTATTTAACCAATCCCCTAATGTTGAAATTAGTTTCCATCTTCTATTACAAATAATGTTGCTAAGGATATTCTTGAAGTACATCAAGTATATAGCTCAAGGAATTTTTGAACACACCCATGTAACCAGTGCCTAGATGAAGGAACAAAACATTATCAGCATCCCCACAGCCTTCCTTGTGCCCTCTAGTCATTAGCCACTCCAAAAAGGGTATGAATAGTATCTTAATTTCTAAAATTATCTAGATTTTTAAATATAATTTCTATCAATTTTCAATTTTATGTCATTAAACCATGTTGTCACATTTAGTTTTTAGTTTGCTCACTTTTGTTGCTAAACAGCACTCCATTATGCTAATATATCACAATGTACTTATCCATTTAATCTAATTCTGAAGACTGTTCTAGTTGTTTCCAGATTTTCGCTGTAAATAATGGTGCTAAGAACATTCTTATACAAGTTTCATGATGAACATATATATGTTTTTTGAATAGTGGGGTTACTGTATCATAGGGTATGTACATAAATGTTTTTTGAGACAGGGTCTCACTTTGTCACCTAAGAGGAGTGGTGTGAGCACAGCTTACTGTAGCCTTCATGTCCCAGGCTCAAGCGATCCTCCTACTTCAGCCCCCTAAATAGCTGGGACTACAGGGGTGCAACACCAAGGCTGAGAAATTTTTGTATTTTTTGTAGAGATGAGGTTTTGCCATGTTGTCCAGGCTGGTCTCGAACTCCTGGGCTCAAGAGATCGAATGCCTTGGCCTCCCCAAATGCTGGAATTACACGCTGGGATAACAGGAGTGAGCCATTGCACCCGGCCTAGGGTATGTATGTTACATCCTGTTTAGGATCCTTCAGTATCCTTTTTAGTCACACTGTCAAGTCACTTTCAGGGCAGCATTATCACTTTATAATCCTAACACTGATGTCTACTAATTCTGGTTACGACACATCCTAAACACCTGATATTGCCTCTTTAGCATTTTAGCCACTCTGGTCAGTGTCTAATTGTACTCCATTGTAGTTTTAAGTTGTATTTTCTTAATAACTAATAAAAATCAAGCAAAACTTCATATATTTATTGGCCATTTATATATATTCTCTTCTATGGGGTGTCTTTTTAAGTCTTTTGCCCATTTTTCTGATTGTCTTCTAAATGTAGAAGAGAGGGAGCTCTTTTAAATATTTGAATATAACCCCTTTATAAGGTTAGGTTTAGGCTATATCTATTTGTTTTACTAAAAGAAGGGTATAAACATGTACATTCTACTTTGGTCAAATCAGCATTTTGTACATTTTCTTTCTTATATTGATTTCTTTGGGGATATACAAAAGGCAACATTGCTTCCTTTAGTATTGTCTCCACATATACTCTGATGTAAATAATTCTATAATATGTTGTTCACATGATGTATTTTTGCCCATCCCTTTGTTTGGTTTTCCACAAAACATCCTGAAAACATTTTACTTTGCTGTTACTGTGTGTCTTGTAAAGAAAACACCTGGATATTATTTTATTCCTCAACTTGAGGAATTTTTAATATTTAGGTTTATACAGATAAAAACAGCAGACTTGTTTTGCCACAATTTCAGTTGTGAGCAAAAAAGATTTATCTTGTTTTATACAAAATGTTATACTGGGACCATCTAGCCAATTCTGACTCTGCTTAGCCTCTACTGCAGGTACAATGTGACTTTAACTAGCCTCCTTCCTTTACACAGAAGCCCTACAGTGCCTAGAAGTGCCCTGCTTATTTTCTGAATATTCTAGCCATACTGGAAATAAAATGAGTCCCAAAAAGAGCTCTGAATTCACCAGGTATTTTTCTGGTGAAGTCACTCTACTCCCTCTAACTGCAAAGAGACCACTATAATAATTATGGCTCAAAACATACAGCCCTTCCACGTTTCTGTTTCTGATTTTTGCTTTTTCCAACGAGGCAATTCTAACATATTGTTTCTTGGCATCAGGATAAGCCTTCATAACCAATGAAAAGCCAGGTCAAAGAAAACCTAAGCCACTCCCGTCTTAGTCTCTTAATTTATATATATTACAACAAATGGAAGCTATAATAAACAGTTCTGCTGCGAAGACTGAAAACGTTAAAGACTAAAAAATAAATCAACTGCAAATTGTACGCACGCTGTGTTTCTGCCAAGTTCTACGTACTTAATATCGAACTAAAAAACAATTAACTAAATTTTGAAAATTTACTATAACACCTAACTTCATTACCTTTCAGCTCAAATTACTACCATAAATGTAACCAGTTTTACATAGGTTTCAACTCAAGGATAATGAGACAAGTCGCCTAAGGATTGAGATGTACATGAAACTACTTACTTTTATATATATTTTTCCCTCAAACTCTAGACAGTTTACAATGGTCATTCTCTAACTAATATTATCAAGCCAAACTATGAATAAAAAGAACATGTCTGTTACATAAAAAATGAATTTAAAAAAAAAAAAAAAAAAAAAAAAGGTAACAGAAGAATCAAGTTTACCTGACTCAAAGGTTGGCATTTTCAAGTCACCTTGGTTCAGTTCTGTGCCATATTTTAATTTGTGATATTTTGCCCTGAAAATTTAATCACAAATTAGTAAAAGAGTAACTTTTTCCTTTTGTCATTCTTGCTATATATTACTCCAATAACAAAACATAATATGAATGTCTGTTTCTTTAAACTTTATTTGCAAAGAACATAGAATATATTGCTGTAGAAGAAAAAAAAAACGTAAATTTCCCAAGTAACACATACTCAAAAGTCAAAAAAAGACCAATTATCCTTTGTCCCTTTTTTACCTTCCAAAATTTAGATTCAATAACCAAACACATTTCTATTGAATTATTTTAATCTCTTGCCTTTCTTTCCCAAGTATGAATCAAATCAAGATATCATCATGTATTTGCGCAAGGCTTTGTGCCTTTCAAAAAAAGGTGCCAAATACATAATACAATTGTATACATGAGCATACTATTGTTCTACTTTGTTCATATAAAAATGAGGCACACATACCTTTCTTGTTTTAATGCATATTCTAACATCTTTATTCTTCTTACTAAGTCCTTCTTCAAGTTCTCCTGACCTTTTCTTTCTCCTTGTAGAAATGCAATCCGGGCCTAAAAATACAAAAAATGCATTTATTTATATTTTCCCTTAACTATACATAGGAAACTGAAAAATGGAAAAAAATAAATGCAAACTTTTGCATTTTACTCATGATATCAAGATTTCAAATTCATAAAAATGGGCCAGGCAATGACTCACACCTGCCATCTCAGCACTCTGGTAGGCCAAGGCAGTAGGACTGCCTGCAACAGGTGTTTGAGAGCAACCTATAGTGAGACTTCATCTCTGCAAAAGATTTTTAAAATTCGCCAAGTGTAGTGCTGTGCGCCGGTAGTCTTAACTACTCAAAGCTGAAGAGACTGTCTCAAAAAAAAAAAAAAAAAAGCCAAACTTTCTGTTAAATAACACATCCCTTTTAAAATAAAGATAACTATAAATTAGCTAGTTTATAATCCGTAAGATCCCTAATGTTAATATTTCATCTTTATATAACCTTGAAAGAAAAATATACATAAAAATGGCACCTAATTCCTAACACACAATTCACAAAGAACTGAAAAACATTATGTTCACAAGCAGATATATACTTCAGAAAATGGATATTATTTCAAAAAACAAATTACTTCAAAAGCCTTTCTTTCCTGAAACACAAGAAAATTTATAATCTGGGTCAGGCACAGTGGCTCACACCTGTAATACCAGCACTTTGGGAGGTTGAGGTGGGCATATCACCTGAAGTCAGGAGTTCAAGACCGGCCTGGCCAACATGGTGAAACCCCATCTCTAGAAAATACAAAATCTCTACAAAAATACAAAAATTAGCTGTGCATGATGGCAGGTACCTGTAATCCCCGCTGAGGCAAGAGAATCACTTGAACCTGGAAGGTGAAAGTTGCAGTGAGCTGAGATCGTGCCACTGCATTCCAGCTTGGCAAAAGAGTGAGACTCTGACTCAAAAAAAAAAAAAAAAAAGTGATAATCTTTCTATTCTACCACCCCACTCCAAATTCTGTTTTATTTCTTGAAATGGCAAATGCCGCAGTATTACAAATAGTTTAAGTAAGGCCACTCACTATACATTCTATTACCTCATTATTTTTTATTGTCAGTTTTCCACTGTGAAGGAAATTTTTTTCCTTAAGTGCCTTTTATCCTTATTTCCTGAAAAAGACAATTCTCTGCCTTTTTCTAGCCACTCTCAATAGGTCAGTCTCCTTTACCCACCTCACACTAAAGAATAACGTTGAAAGAGACTGACATCTATCTGGGGACATTTGCCATTATGCACACATTCACAATAAAATGAACTTTCACATGAGGTAGAATGTTCTTGCAGAGATGACATAGGTCCATTCGTTCAGTATAAGAAAGCTGTTTAATAAGCTAAACTGTTATTAAACTTTAGTTAGGATGTGTTGATTTCTACAAGAGATATATTTTAGCTAACGAGACCAGCTAAATCAAGTCAATTAATAAAAACACCTAAGTAATAAATAACCGCTGTCATCAAAAAAATCTGTTATCCTAAAAAAAAATTTGTATGAAATTATCTACAACTTCATAACACCTTTGAAGTTATAAATAGCTACAGAGTTCATGAAGAGCCTGGGCAACACAGCAAGACCCTGTTTCTACCAAAAAATCAGTAATTAGCCAGGCTTGGTAGCACGTTCCTGTAGTCTTAGCTACTTGGGAGGCTGAAGCACAAGAAATCACTTGAGCCCAGGAGTAAGGCTACAATGAGCTACGATCACATCACTGCCTTCCAGCATGGTTGACAAGCAAGACCCTGCCTCTACAATAAATAAACACAAATAAATAGCTACATGACACTTATATATTTCCAAACCTTTTAAAAAGCACTAGGAGGAATGATAATGGTTCAGAACCTAATAGTCTATGATCCTAAAGAAAAGGGCAGCACTTACTCTCTTAAGCTATGGAGCAAAGGGATAATATGTCAATTTCATCTTACACTGTGAAAAAAGATTCTGACGGGTTTTCTCCTGTGTTGGCTGTTGTTGTTGTTGCTGTTGTTTTTAAAAGCCAGGAAGCCCATACTATATAACCATTATGTAGGTTTCAATTTTCAGATCTAATAAGCATTCTACAATTACCAGTAAAAAGGCTGAAAGAAACCTGTTTTATTATTCTGCTTCTGAAGAAGTCATAATTGGGCAACATAGCAAGACCTTGTCTCTAAAAAGCCAAAAACAGGCTGGATGCAGTGGCTCACACCTGTTAATTCCGGCACTTTAGGAGGCTGAGGCAGGTGGATCACCTGAGGTCAGGACTTCAAGACCAGCCTGGCCAACATGGTGAAATCCCGTCTCTTCTAAAAATACCAAAAAAATTAGCCAGGCATAGTGGTGGGCACCTGTAATCCCAACTACTCAAGAGGCCGAGGCACAAGAATTGCTTGAACCCAGGAGGCAGAGGTTGCAGTCAGCCAAGATCGCACCATTGCACTCCAGCCAGAGGGACAACAGTAAAACTCTGTCTCAAAAACACAAAAAAAAACAAAAAAGAGCTTGGGGCCAGACATCTGTATTCTCAATGCTTTGGGATGCTGAAGCAGGAGGATCACTTGAGGCCAGGAGTTCGAGACCAGCCTAGGCAACATGGCAAGACCCCATCTCTACAAAAAAACAAAAACAAAAACAAAAAAAATTAGCTGGGCATGGTGGTGCACACCTGTAGTCCTAGTTACTTGGGACATTGGGTGGGGAGGATAGCTTGAGCCCAGGGGTTTGATGTTACAATGAGCTATGATTGTGCCACTGTACTCCAGCTGGGCAAAATAGCAAGACCCTGTCTCTAGTTAAAAAAAGAAAGTGCGGCCAGGCGCGGTGGCTCAAGCCTGTAATCCCAGCACTTTGGGAGGCCGAGGTGGGTGGATCACGAGGTCAAGAGATCCAGACCATCCTGGTCAACATGGTGAAACCCCGTCTCTAGTAAAAATACAAAAAATTAGCTGGGCATGGTGGTGCGTGCCTGTAATCCCAGCTACTCAGGAGGCTGAGGCAGGAGAATTGCCTGAACCCGGGAGGCGGAGGTTGCGGTGAGCCGAGATCGCGCCATTGCACTCCAGCCTGGGTAACATGAGTGCAACTCCGTCTCAAAAAAAAAAAAAAAAAGTGCGTTCCTCCCACAATGAAAAGTGTGTCTAAACTGAACCCACAGCAAACAACAGAGCTACAATCCATGGTAATATTTATTTAAGAATCACAATTGTAAAGATTAGGCTGGGTCCAGTGGCTCACGCATGTAATCCCGGCACTTTGGGAAGCTGAGGTAAGTGGACCACCTGAGGTAAGGAGTTCGAGACCAGCCTGGCCAACATGGCGAAACCCCATCTCTACTAAAAATACAAAAATCAGTCAGGTGTGGTGGCATGCACCTATAATCCCAGCCACTCAAGAGGCTGATGCAGGAGAATCACTTGAACCCGGGAGGCAGGGGCTGCAGTGAGCTGAGATTGCGCCACTGCATTCCAGCCTGGGTGACAAAAGTGAGATTGTCTCAAAAAACAAAAAATTTTTTAATATAACGATTAGAATAACTTAATTATGGATTCCAGTTTAGCTCTTTAGTAACTACAGAATTGTATTATGCTACTGTTCTATCAGAATATTTTAAAATGTCATCTTGAAATATATATGTATATTTTAAGCCCTGATACAAAGAAAAAAGAACACTATTAAGATGTGTACATTATGTTTATTTTCTCTATAAGAATCATACATTTTAAACTAAACAAATTATCTATAATGGAAATGATTAATGATTTATGAGCAAGTTGGTTTTGCCAGATATTATATACAAACTTTGATACACTACAGAATGTTTTATTACACTTGTGAAATTCTCTTGCCTAACCTGAACTTATATTCCATAGTGAGAACAATTTATATACTGCTACTAAAGTGAACACACCAAAAATAATAGTAAGTTAAAAACAAGACAAACTTTAACAACTTTACAACTTAAGAAACTAGAAAAAGAACAAACTAAACCCAGAGCCAGTAGAAGAAAATAAAGATTGGAGCAGAGATCAATGAAACAGAACAGAAAAAAAAAAAAAAATCACTGAAAGCAAAAGTCAGATCTTTGAAAGCATAAAAAAAAATCTGATAACCCTTTAGCTCAGTTGGGGGCGAGGGGAGAAGAAAAAGAGAATAAAGGAGAGAGACAGGGAGACAGAGACTCAAATTACTAAAATCAATATTAAGGTTAAATTGGAAATCACCAATTCCACACAAATAAATCTCTCAACAAAGAAAAGCCTTGAATCTGATACCTTCACTGGTAAATTCCACCAGCATTTAAAGAACAGCAATCTTTTCTCAAACTTTTGCAAAAATTTGAAGAAAAGGGAATACTATCCAATTCATTCTATGAGGCCAGCACTGCCCCTGATAACCAAAGACAGAGACACTAAAGAAAACTACAGACCAATCAACATCCTTTATGAACACTAATACTAAAATTCTCAACAAAATACTAGCAAACTGAATTCAGCAGCATATTAAAAAGATTACACATCATGACCAAGAGGGATTTATTCCTGTAATGAAAGTATGATTCAACATATGAAAATCAATCAATGTAAGAAAGTACATTAACAGAATGAAGAAAAAAGTCATGATTATCTCAGTGCAGAAAAAGCACTGGACAAAATTCAACATCTTTTTTTTTTTTTTTTTTTTTGAGAGATAGTCTCACTCTTATTGCCCAGGCTGGAGTGCAATGGTCTGATCTCGGCTCATCACAACCTTTGCCTCCAGGGTTCAAGCAGTTCTCCTGCCTCAGCCTCCCGAGTAGCTGGGACTACAGGCAGGAGCCACCATGCCTGGCTAATTTTGTATTTTTAGCAGACACGGGGTTTCTCTGTTGGTCAGGCTGGTCTTGAACTTCCGAACTCAGGTGATCCGCACACCTCAGCCTCCCAAACTGCTGGGATTACAGGCGTGAGCCACTGTGTCTGGCCTCAAAACAGTCAACAAACTAGAAATAGAAGAAAACTACCTCCTCATAATAAAAGCCATGCATGAAAAACAACAGTAAACACAGTCGATGATTAAAGACTGAAAGCTTTTTCTCTAAGATCAGAAACAAGGAAATCCACTTTCATCACTACTACTCAATACAGTACTAGCCTTCCTACCAATCAGGAAACAGAAATAAAAGGCAACCAAATTGGAAAGGAAGAAATAAAACTATTTATTCAAAGATATGATGTAGAAACTCAAAGGATTCCACAATAATCTATGAGAGCTAATAAATGAATTCAGCAAAGTAACAGAATACAAAATCAGCACAGAAAAATCAGTTGATTTTTCCAACAGCATGTGCTCACTTTATTAGCATTTTTTGGCAATGAAGTGTTTTCTTCTTTTTATTTATTTATTTATTTTTGTTTTTAGATAGTTTCACTCTGTCACCCAGGCTGGAGTATAGTGGTGCAGTGTCAGCTCACTGTAGCCTGTACTCCCCTTCAGAATCAAGTGATCCTCCTACCTCAGCCCCCTGAGTAGCTGGGACTACAGGCATGTGCCACAGCACCTGGCAAATTTTAATTTTATTTATTCATCATTTTCAAGTTTTTTTTGGAGTTGTGCTATTTGGGGGTTCCTTGAGACTCTATATGAATGAAAAACCTGAAATTAAGAAAATAATTCCATTCACAATAGCATCTAAAAGAATATCTAGGAATTAACTTAACCAAGGATGTGAAAGACATATATAATGAAAACTATAAAACAATGGTGAAAGAAACGAAAGAAGATACAATAAACAAAACCACATCTCATTTAATGGATTACAAGACTTAATGTTGTTAAAATGTCAATAATAGGCCAGGCGCGGTGGCTCACGCCTGTAATCCCAGCACTTTGGCAGGCCAAGGTGGGCGGATCAAGAGGCCAGAAGATTGAGACCATCCTGGCCAACATGGTGAAACCCCGTCTCTATAAAAAAAAAAAAAAAAAAATAAAAAAAAAAAAAAAAGAAAGAAAGAAAATGTCAAAAATACCCATAGCAATCTACAGATTCAATGCAATACTATCAAAATCCCAACTTATTTCCGCAGAAAATAGAAAAATCCATCATAAAATTCATATGGAATCTCAAGGAACCCCTAAACAGCACAACTACAAAAAAAAAAAAAAAAAAACCTTGAAAATGATGAATAAATAAAACAAAATTTGCCAGATGCTGTGGCACACGCCTGTAGTTCCAGCTACTCCGGGGGGCTGAGGCAGGAGGATCACTTAAGCCTGGGGGAGTACAGGCTACTGTGAGCTGACACTGTGCCACTATACTCCATCCTGGGTGACAGAGTAAGGACTATCTCAAAACAAAAATAAATAAATAAAAGAAAACACTTCATTGCCAAAAACTGCTAACAGTGAGCACATGCTGTTGGAAAAAATTGCATAGACTTGCTTTACAGAGTTGCCAGAAACCTTCAAACTGTAAAAAACCCAGTATCTGCAAAGTGCACTAATGTGAGGTGTGCCTATACTATGACATACCCATGCTGCCTGTGAAGCAATACAGTATTACGTGAAAGGAGACTTCAGGCCAGGTGCGGTGGCTCACGCCTGTAATTCACCACTTTGGGAGGCTGAGGCGGGCAGATCACCTGAAGTTAGGAGTTCAAGACCAGCTTGACCAACATGGCGAAAGCCCATCTCTACTAAAAAGACAAATATTAGGCGGGTGTGGTGGTGGACGCCTATAATCTCAGCTACTCAGCAGGCTGAGGCAGGAGAATCACTTCAACCAGGGAGGTGGAAGTTACAGTGAGCCAAGATGTCGCCATTGCACTCCAACCTGGCAAGAGAGCGAGACTCCGTCTAAAGAAAAAAAAAAGGAAACTACTAGTTACCTAACCAGAGGAAAAGAAGTCATTATATGAAAAAGACACTTGCACATGCATGTTTACAGCAGCACAATTCACAACTGCCCATCAACCAACGAGTGGATTAAGAACATGTAGTATATATATGTACCATGGGATATACTACTCAGACATAAAAAGGAATGAAATAATGGCATTTGCAGCAACCGGGATGGAGCTGGAGACCATTATTCTAAGTGAAGTAACTCAGGAATGGAAAACCAAACATTATATGTTCTCATAACTGGAAGCTAAGCTATGGGGATGCAAAGACTTAAGAATGGTATAATGAACTTTGGGGACTTGGGAGGAAGAATGGGAGGGGGTGAGGAATAAAAGACTACACAATAGGTATTGTATATATATACTGTTCAGATGTCAGGTGCACCAAAATCTCAGAAATCACCACAAAGAACTTTTCCATACAACCAAATGCTACCTGTTCCCCCCAAAACTACTGAAATTAATGCAGTAAAAAGAAAGTAGACTTGAAGCCTGGGCAATATAGCAAGATAACATGTCTACAAAACTTTTATTTAAAAAATTAGCCAGGTATGGTGGCACATGCCTATATTCCCAGCTATTTGGGAAGCTGATGTGAGAGAATCACTTGAGCCCAGGAGACCAAGGCTACAAGTGAGCTATGATTGTGCCACTGCACTCCGGCCTGGGTAAAACAGAAAGACCCTGGCTCTAAATAAAATAAAATAAAATAAAACAAAACAAAGTGGACTTGAATTAATTATAAATATATTTTATAAATTCTAAGATAACTAACAAAAGAAAAAAATTTTAGCTATAGTTCATATGCTAGGACAGCAGCCAAAATGCAGTTATATAAAATTCTCAATTAAACCAGAGAAGGCAGAATAAGTTTATAAACAAAGAACAAGTACAAAAATAGACAAAAATTACAGACATGGTACTAAGCAAACTACAACGATAATAACTTTAAATGTGAATTATTTAAATATGCCAATCAAAAGAGACTGTTGTAGTGAAGTAAAAAAATAAAATGCCAGACAGGTTGCCTACAAGAAATTTTATTTAAGTATAAACACAGAAAATGACTAAAAGTAAATGGTTGGGGACAGTTATACCATGCAACATTAATTTTTTAAAAGTAGGACTAGATGCATTAATTTCAGACAAAACAGACTTTCGAACAAGGAAAATTATCCAGGATAAAGAGGGATATTACATAATGATAAAGGGGTCAATTCTCCAAGGGTCAAACAACCTTAGTGTGTCAAAACAGGTGAAGCAAAAATTGAGAAATACATGAATCCACTATTATAGCTGGAAACTACAACACCCCTCTACCAGTAACTGAGAGATCCAGCAAGGCAGAAAACCAGTAAAGATACAGTTCAACCGAACAGCATCATTAATCAGCTGGATCTAATTGATATCCACATAGTACTTTAAGAAGAGCAGAATACACATTCTTCTCAAACTCACATGGAATGTTCACATCAAGAAAAACATTTTGGAACATAAAACACACCTTAACAACTTTAAAAGATCAGAATTCATACAGTGTACTAACAGACCACAATAAAATTAAATCTAGAAATCGGTAACAGAAAGACATGGAAAATCCTAGAATATAGGAAATTAAACATACTTCAAAATAACACATTGGTCAAAGAAGTATCAGGATAAATTTTAAAATATTTTGGCCGGGCACAGTGCCTCACACCTGTAATCCCAACATTTTGGGAGGCCAAGGTGGGCAGATTACCTGAGCTCTGGAGTTCAAGACCAGCATGGCCAACATGGTGAAACCCCATTTCTATTAAAAATACAAAAATTGGCTGGGCATGGTGGCATGAGCCTGTAATCCCAGCTACTCAGGAGGCAGTGGCAGGAGAATTATTTGAACTCAGGAGGTAGAGGTTGCAGTGAGCCAAGACAGCACTACAGCACTCCAGCCTGGGTGACAGAGTAACGCTCTGTCACACACACACACACACACACACACACACACACACACACACACACATACACACACACACATACACAAGTAAAATATTTTTAACTAAATGAAAATAAAAATTAAGCTCATCAAAATCTGTAGGATGTGGCAAAAACAGTGCTTAATGGGACATTTATAGCAGTCAAGGCATATATTAGAAAGGCTGGTCATGGTGGTTCACATCTATAGTCCCAGCACTTTGGGAGGCCAAAGTGGAAGGATCACTTGAGCTCAGGAGTTCAAGGCCAGTGTGGGCAATATAGTTGAGACCCCCATACCTACAATAACAACAAAAAAAAAATTAGCCAGGCATGGTGGTATGTGCCTGTGGTTCCAGCTTCTCAGGAGGCTGAGGCAGGAGGATCCTTTGAGTCATATCATACTACTGCATTCCAGCCTGGTTGACAGAGGAAGACCCTGTTTGAAATAAATAAATAAGTAAATATATAAATTAATGGTCGGGTGGTGGTTCACGCCTGTAATCCCAGCACTTTGAGGGGCAGAGGTGGGCAGATCACCTGAGGTCAGGAGTTCGAGACCAGCCTGGACAACATGATGAAATCCCACCTCTAAAAAAAAAAAAAAAAAGAAAAAAAGAAAAAAGAAAAAAAAAAATTAGCTGGGTGTGGTGTTGGGCACCTGTAATCCCAGCTACTCAGGAGGCTGAGGCAGGAGAATCGCTTAAACCCAGAAAGCAGAGGTTGTAGTAAGCAGAGATCGTGCCACTGCTCTCCAGCCTGGGAGACAGAGTGAGATTCCACCTCAAAAAATAAATAAATAAATAAAAAAGGAAAGAAAGAAGATCCTATTATGGACATTAAAAGGAAAATAAAAATTATAAACAGCTTTATGCCCACAAATTTGATAACTAAGATTAAATGGACCAATTCCTTAAAAGACACAATCTTCAAAAACTCACATAAGGGGCAATAAATAATGTGAATGGATCCACATCTATTAAAGAAATGGAACTAACAATAATCTTTGAAAACAAAAAGCATCAAGCCCAGATGGACTCAATGGTGAATTCTACTAAACATTTAAGAATGAAATACCAACCTTTACAATCTCTTCCAGAAAACAGAAGCAAAAGGAACACTTACTAACTCATTTGATGAAGACAGCATTAACCTAATATCAAAACCAGATAATATACTAGAAGAAAGGAAAACTACAAACATATCTCTCATGAGCATAGATGTAAAACTCCTTAACAAAATATTAGCAAAAATCCAACAAAGAACTATACACCACAACAAAGTAAGATTTACTTCAGGTATACTAGACAGTTTCAACATTCAAAACTGTTACTGTAACACATCATTAATTGGCTAAACAAGCTAAAGAAGAAGTATCATATGATCGTAGCAATGGATACAGAAAAGAATTCAACAAAATCGTATACCCATTCATGACAAAAACTCTCAATAAACAGGAATAAAGGGAAAACCCTCAACTTAATAAAGAACATCTATGAAAAACCTACAGTTAAATATCATATTCAATTATGAAAAAGCAGATGCTTTCCCCCCCCAAGACTGGGAACAAGGAAAGGATCTCCTCTTTCATCACACCTATTCAACATCATACTTGAAGTCCTAGCTAATGCAAGAGATGAGAAAAGAAAAGGTATACAGATTGAGAAAGTAGAAATAAAACTGTTTTCAGATGACCTATGTTAAAAATCCTAAAACATCAACAAATAGAACCCTGAATCAAAGAAGTTTACGTATAAAGCAGGGTGGCTAACACTTGTAATTCCAGAACTCTGAGAGGCCAGGGCAGGCAGATCACTTGAGCCCAGGAGTTCAAGATCAGCCTGGCCAACATGGTGAAACCCTGTCACTACTAAAAAATACAAAAATTAGTGGGGTATGGTGGCACATGCCTGTAGTCCCAACTACTCTGGAGGCTGAGGCAGGAAGGTCATCTGAACCTGGGAGGTGGAGGTTGAAGGGAGCCAAGATCATGCCACTGCACTCCAGCCTGGGCAATGGTGTGAGAGTGCATCTCAAAAAAAAAAAAAAAAAAAAAAAAAAAAAAAAAAAAAGGCAATTATAGCAAGGTTGTGGGAAACAAGATTAATAAACAAAAGTCCGTTACTTCCGTATACAATAGTAATAAATATTTAGATTTTGACACAGTGCCATCTACCTTAGCGCCAAATAAATGCACAGGAAGAAAACTACAAAAAACTCTGATGAGAGAGATATCAAAGAAAATCTAAATTAAAGGCAAGATTTTAAAAGTGTATTTTTATTGTGAAGATAAGGTCAAAGACCTAGCCCCTGCCAAAAAAAAAGTTTTGCAATGGAATGTGCAGTTGTCTCAATAAATCAGGTTACAGAAAATTCATTTTTTATGTGTCCAACTCAACAAATTTTGTTAATTCCATTGATCTGAAGTGTAATGCAAAGGCAAAAATTAACTTTTACAAACTTGTTTCTAAATACGATTTCAGTTCATAATTCACGGTAAGAAATATTATTGTTGATTTTCAGGATAGCTTTTCTTCCTTTGAATACAGGAAAAGGTGTTCATTTAGGACTACATTTTATTTTATTTTTTTCTTTTGAGACAGAATTCCACTCTGTTGCCCAGGCTGGAGCACAGTGGCATGATCTCGGCTCACTGCAACCTCCATCTCCCAGGCTCAAGTGATTCTCCTACCTCAGTCTCCCAAGTAGCTGGGACTACAGGTGCATGCCACCACAGCTGGCTGATTTCACCATGCTGGCCAAGCTGGTCTTGAACTCCCGACCTCAGGTAATCCACCTGCCTAGGCCACCCAAAGCGCTGGGATTAGGGGCATGACCCACCATGCCCAGCAGGACATTTTACATATCGTCTTAATTTATTCAACAATCAGCATGTAAATCCACATAAGAATTATTTGAGGCCAGGTATGGTGGCTCACGCCTGTAATCTCACCACTTTGGGTGACCGAGGTGGGCAGATCACAAGGTCAGTAGCTCTAGGAGTTTGAGAACACCCTGGCCAACATGGTGAAACAACATCCCTACTAAAAATACAAAAATTAGCTGGGCATGGTACGTGCCTGTAATCCCAGTTACTTGGGAGGCTGAGGCAGGAGAACTGCTTGAGTCCAGGAGATGGAGGCTGCAGTGTGCCAAGATTGCGCCACTGCACTCCAGCCTGGGCAACAAAGCAAGACTCTGCATGGGGGGGAACAGCAGGGGAGAATTACTTCATATTTGTACTTAGCAGTAATTTTTTAACTGCAAGACCACTAGAGGTCACCAGTGTAAAACTTTCAACTTTGATTCAACTGGTAGTGAACTAAAGTTCAACTACTATTTTGCAATTTTTTTTTTTTTTTTGAGACCGAGTCTTGCTCTGTCACCCAGGCTGGGGTAGGGTGGCACAATCTCGGCTCCCTGCAACCTCCGCCTCCCGGGTTCAAGCAATTCTCCTGCCTCAGCCTGCCCAGTAGCTAGGATTACAAGCGCCAGCCACCA